AATTGATATGATTTGATCTGATCTGTACGATTCTGTTTTGTTCTGATTTGATCTGATCTGTACGATTCCGTTCTGTTCTGATTTGATCTGATTCTGATACGATTCTGTTCTGTTCTGATTTGATCTGATCTGTACGATTCTGTTCTGTTATGATTTGATCTGATCTGTATGATTCTGTTCTGTTCTGATTTGATCTGATTCTGATATGATTTTGTTCTGTTCTGATTTGATCTAATCTGTATGATTCTGTTCTTATTATAATTTCTGTGATTTCTGTTCTGTTCTGATTCGATATACGATTCTGTTGATCTGATTTCTGTATGGATTTTGTCTGATGTGTTTGATGTGGATTATGAGGATTATGATTGGAGGTGTTATGTCTTGTTGAGCTGTTGTAGCTCATCCTTGTTTTCTGCATGGTTTTCAGGTTCTGGGAAAGGGAAGGAAGTCTTGGAGTAGGAGTTCAGAGTCTGATCTTTTATAGGTATTTTGTACTTTTGATCTTTTGTACAGTCATGGTTTTTCTGTTCTGTTTTTCTTTCTGTCTGAAAGCCATGAGCTGTATTTGTATATGATTCTTTTTTAGGAAGAAAAAGATAGATGATCTGTTCCGCTGTATTTTGATGTTTATAGTAGCTCTGTGTGTGTCTGTTTCTGTGTGTAAATGTTTGGAAGAAAGTTCTGAAACAAATTCCAAAACCAGATCCTGGAATCAGTTCAGTCAGTTTGAGTTTGGATCACGACCCGATGCAAGCGGGATCCGTCCCGGTCGGGTTGGGTCGTGACAGAAGCTATGTCCGTCGCGACAGAAATGGAGTGTGTACGAACAAGAACTCTACGCCGTTGTCCGAGCACTAAAGCAATGGGAGCCATATCTACTGCATCAAGATTTTATCTTATGTAGTGACCATCGATCACTACAATTCATCAACAATCAAAAGCATATCAACCGCATGCATGCAAGATGGATTTTATTTCTGCAACGATTTTCTTTTGTCCTTCAACATAAATCGGGCTCGCAAAATAAGGTGGCGGACGCTCTCAGTCGGAGACATGCACTTCTCACTCAACTGCAGATGGAAATCACGGGCCTCGAGTGTTTAAAAGAGTTGTATGCCACTGATCAAGATTTCGGACAAATTTGGGTTCAAAGCTTGAACCAAGAGACAAACAAGGAATTTCTCACACAGGAAGCGAGCAAGGAATTTTCCATAAGGCATGGATTCCTCTTCAGGTTGAACCAACTTTGCATTCCAGACTCCTCATGGAGGCCTCAGCTGATCAAAGAAGTTCACTGCGGTGGGCTAGCCGCTCATGTGGGGAGGTCAAACACCTTGGCACAATTGCAGTCGCGTTTTTTCTGGCCCCATTTGCGAAGAGACGGCATGCGGTTTGTTGAAAGATGCCCGATTTGTCAAAGTTACAAAAGCGGGGAGGACATAATGGATTGTACCTTCCGTTAACTGTGCAGGACACCATCTGGGAGGATTTAAGCCTCGACTTTGTCTTGGGACTGCCTCGAACCAAACGGGGTCATGATTCTATAATGGTTGTCGTTGACAGATTCTCGAAAATGGCTCATTTTGTCCCCTGTAAGAAGACATTCGATGCACTTAATATTGCACGAATCTTCTTTGCTGAAATTGTGAGGCTGCACAGAGTACCACGAAGTCTTACATCTGACCGCGACGTCAAATTTATAAGTCATTTCTGGAAAGAATTATGGAAGAGGCTGCACTCTTCAATTCAACTTAGTTCCGCTTACCACCCACAAACTGACGGTCAAACGGAAGTGGTGAACCGAACCCTTGGCAACATGCTACGATGCATTGTCCAAGAGCATCCTAAGTTATGGGATGAAATCCTCGGCCAAGCGGAATTTGCTTATAACAGCATGACCAACCGATCGAGTGGAAGATCACCTTTCAGCATCGTGTACACCAAGCAACCAAATCACACCATCGACATCGCCGTGCTGCCGAAGTGCTCCAGCAAGCCCGCCTCCTCTTTTGCTAACCAATTTTCTTCCATGTTACAGGAAGTTCGTGCTAAGCTTTTGGAGTCCAATAACAAGTACAAACAGAAGGCCGACGAACACCGCCGGGAGCAGCTCTACAAACTCGGGGATTTAGTAATGGTTCGACTCCGACGTGAACGCGTCGCTCCGGGAACTTACTCCAAATTGAGCCCGCGGAAGACTGGGCCTTTTCCTATCCTTAAGCAAATCAATCCAAATGCTTATGTCGTGGACTTACCAACTCATTTCAACACTTCTACTACTTTCAACGTCACCGATCTCTCCCCTTACCATCCGCCTGATGATGCACGGACCAATATTTCTTCATCGGAGTCGGACTCCCCAGTTGATGGGGGAGAATGATGCGGTGCATCACAGTTGATTGGCTTAGTCATTTATGCTTTGGCTTAGTCATTTATGCTTACAGTTATTTCTTTTACATTTAGTAGTTATCTTAGTCTTTTAGATTTGATGCCACATTCTGTTATAGCGTGGTCATCCCACTACTTGTCTTTCCCGTTTTTGGATAGTTTAGTACATAGAAGCCTTTTTTATTGGCTCACTAATTTCAGCAAGAGTGATATCTCTTGACAGTATTTCATGTATCTCTTCTCCGGGAAGAGGGTAACACAGTTTTTACATTCTCAATAGTAAAGTTTACGCTACAAGCGTTTTGGTATTCGTTCTTGGCTTTTTGCACCTGCTTCTACCATTGAATACCACATCACAAATTTTACTTTGCTGTATCTACCATCTAACTGAATTTGTATTTATATATATATGAATGATAGAACATGATTGACGTACAGAAATTTTAGGGTTTGGCGGAACAGCTAGGAAATTAAACGCTATGAAAAATGCTACTGAGCGTTCTGGTTTAAATAATTCAGAGATGTTAAAAAATGAAGTAGCTTAACTGAGAGTCCATGACAGATCAGCTGCACTTTATCTGATAAAAAGAGTCTGGTGTGGTTTTATCTTCATTACTTTGAATGAAGGATGCTGAATGCCTGTACCTTTCTGAATTTATTTTTTCTATAGCATGTTTTTTATCTACTCTGTTCTGTTCTTGATGTAGTTCTCTGAGGAATTTGCATATTAGGGTTATCATGGGGACACTTCAAAGACATTTCTGTGTGGAAAAGTTAATGAACCAACTAAGCGGCTCGTGAAGGTATTTTTCTGGCATCTTTGTGAGGCTTCTTAGAATACGTGCTTATCATGCCATGTTTTTTTGTTATGTTCCTAAACTGTTCAATTAAACGTGTAGTTTACTTGTGTATTTGTTGTGACCAAGTTCTTTGTTGTTTAAGTAACTTAATTGTGGCTTGTCCAAGCTTTGAACTACATATGGATACAGCATGTTGCTGAAGTCATTGAAAATGTATGAACAGGGTTTTCTCCTATTGTACCTCTACTTCTATCTTTCTTGTATTTTGAGCCCCTCCTCCTCCACTCAGTTACTATTTTCTTGGAATTAAAATCTAATAGTGTTGTCCATTATCTCTTTATTCAAAACAAAAATGTTAAACTCTCTATCGCTCTGCAGCCGCGAATGTTCCGGTGAACAACAATAATAATCTTGATTTGTTTTATATGAGATAACTAATTTGTTCTGGTATTATGAAATGAGAGGATTGAGAGGGTGTGGCAGTTATCTATCATCCTTCAGACATGAGGGGCTAGTGGTTTTTTATCCTTTCAGCCCGATATGATAGAAATAAAATCATGTCTAGGAATGAATTATAAATCATCATGAAACTAAATAGATGAATGGCCAATCATTTTTACTGGTTTGGCATTTTCACTAGTGTCATCCTAAGTGCTTGGTACATTTGCTTGAAGTCGCGTAACTTTTATTTTTCTCATATGTATGATCTAGCTATGCCATGAAAAGCATATGTTTGGTTTATTATGATGACATACTTATTGTTTAGTTCATGAACTTGTCCATTTTGTCATCATGTAGTGAATTTTTGTCTTAAGAGTATTCATGAATTGATAGTGCTTGAATATTTTAAAGGTGGTCATCCTAAGATGTTTGCATGTTCTGCTTTCTCAACTAATTTATAGGTCAATCTTCTTTATTTTTTTTCTTGAATTTGCAGCCAAAAAGTTAAAATATAGCTTAGCTATTAATTTCCTTTTTAGTTTTTTGTCTAGGTGACAGAAGAATGCTTGGAAAGGGCTATTGCTGTTTGCAAAGATGGTGCTAACTTTAAAAAGATTGGAAAGAGAATAAGGTATTTGACCTTCTGAAGCAATATAATGACAATTCCACGCAGAAAGTTTTTCTGTATCTATTCAGATGCCTGCAACTGTAATCTATGGTCAGATATTGTTTCTTTTGGATGCAAAATTTAACTTTAGCCGTAACATTGTTATCAAATAGTTATTCTCTGTCCATGGAAATTTTTTGTTTGTAGCTCTTTGTGGTGTATATATGAGATAATTGAAGAAAATCCACACACATATATATATATATATATATATATATATATAATATATATATATATATATATATATACGATTTATGTACCTGTGAGCTAAATTATTTATATTCTGACATACTCCATGTTGAATACCTCCTTTTTAAAATATTTATGCTGTTATTCTGCTTCATCGCTTGTACTATGGATTTCTATTACATTAGATTTATTATAGCATTAACATAGGCCTATGTAGAGATTATATTAAATGTTGATGGACATTTTTATAATCATCATTGGAAAATGTTTGCATAATTTCTACCAATTGGACCTACACTCTGATGTGAAACGTACATGCGATGGAGTTACTTTAAGAAATTAAAGAGAGCAATTTAAACAAAATAATCCCAAATAAAATTGTCACTTGTGGTAAAAGATTGATCCTTAGAATTCTTGGTTTTTAACTTGCTTAGGCAAAGAAGAGCGAAATCGATTAACCAAACTATTCAAGAAAACGCAAAGAATAATTGTATGCTACGACAATAAACAAGAATCCATGATTAATAATAAGAACTTTCACCTTTGGAGCCCATACGCTCAAATAGTCTAGGCTTTAGCGGAAGAAGAGTCTTCACATTAGAATTGAGGTCGCTCCGAGGAAGAAAGAACCTTGGATCGTCGTTCTTGGATAGGTGGCCGGAGTATGGAATTTTGGACAGCGGTTGGGGCCTCTCGGGGTGAGGGTGTGGTGCAAGGAAACCTGCGGAACTGTTGGACAGCCGCTACGACGTCATTCCGGACAATTATGCTTGCTGAATTTTATACTAGCGGACAGTGGGCTGCAATGGTGATCTCTCCAATTCATTGTACAGCATTGGTAATGGAAGAAAACCTGTAACAACCCTTGGAGGGCTTCGGGACAGCACCCGGGGTGACTTCAGGCCACAGAACGGTGAGGAAACTGGGTTTATTCTTCTTGGTAGCAAGCTGAGAAGGGGAAGACCAGCAAATTGGATATCTAGGACAGCTGGAATGTGGAACTCGTGTGCAGGAATTTGGTGGCTGCATGAGGCGTTTGGGAATTTTTCATTGGCACTTTTGATGGGAATTAACTGGGTGAACAATAGGGAAAGGAACGGGTGGGCTAAGCAAGAACTAGGTTGGGAAATCTGAAATTAATTTCAGATTTCCAAATTTTAATTTGGACTTTGTAATTTCAAAATTTTGAAATTTGAAATTTAGGCTTAGGAGGGAAATTAGGAATTAATGAGGCCTTATTTGAAGCCATGAATTAAGCTCCTAATTAAGGGGAGGAGTAATGGGTATGGGTGGCTACCATAGAGCAAGGAGAGAGGGGGGTTTCGGTTTTGATGAGGTGGGGCCCACTTGATTAATTAAGGGATTTGAATAAAAGCTGAAATAAATTCAGATTTTAACCAAGAGGGAAAGTTGCCTAATTTATGATTAAACAATGAGGCAGCTATTTGAATTTCAAATTGGAATTGAAATCCAATTAAGATTATTGAATAAATTCAGGATTTAATTTTGGCAAGTGAGTAATGGCTCTTGGAGAATTTGAATTTCAAATTCAAACTCCAAGAGGAAGGACCGGCGGGTAGAGAGGTGGAAGGGAAGGAGGCGGCTGCAAGGGAGGGAGGAAACCGGCGGGCTGGGGAAGGGCTGGCCGGTGGCTGCTGGCCGGCAGGTGGGGCTGCACGCCGGCGACCTGGGCAATCCAGGGAGGGGGCGGCGGCAAGAGCAAGGGAGGGGAGAGTGAGGGGGAAATTCTCGGGATCCAAAGCATGAAAATCCAATCTCCCACTAGTGGCTTCAATCCAAATCACCACAACACGAATTGATCAAGATAACTAAAGAAAAACGAAAGACAAGAAAACCTAGAACTCACAAAGAGATCTAGTTTCTCCTACGAACTCACTAAGAGATCGAGGGTGAACTCACAAAGAGAACATAAGTAGCAAATTTTCATTCATAAAAAACTAACTATTACATGAGAACATGGCCATATAAATAGGCCTCAAAATGACAAAGAAAGTAAAATACTAAAATGCCCCTTGGGCTACAATAGCTACCAAATACCCATAAGGGCAAAAACGGAAAAAACATAAAATAAAAATAAATTACTTCATAAAATGATAAAAATATATATCATGATCGTGGCCGTCGATCTCCGGCATCTCCTGGAGGTACATGTGTCGAAATCGCTGCTGATGTCCCCATCACACTCGCTTTCCTTTCATTTTAACCGCCACCTCATTAATCCATGGGGTCTTCTTGCCTACTCATCAATCTGTGGACCTTTGTAATTATTGTTTTGTCTACTCATCAATTTATAGGCTACTGTAATTATTATTCCTTGATTTACTATATTTCTCACTAGAAATTCTTTTAGCATTGCATAAATACTATACAAATGTTGTAATGAAATACTCAAATAACAAGAAAACATTTCTCTTCCATGGATAACAATAATAATACTTGCATACTTTTGGTCTTAGGTTCTTTTTGATTTAGTAATTTACATGACACAAAAACAAAAAAGCTTCTAGGAGCTCCTACAAAGTGCCTATAGTATATACTTGTGCATATCATTTTAGAGTGCAAATTGGAGATATACTCACCAAAGGATTATCCTGGGCAATCTTTTAAAAATTATCAGGCAAGCTGGGAATAGATGACATCCATTCATTTATTCGAGGGTGAGTGTAAAATGCTTGCATAATTTCCACCAACTGGAATCCACACTCACCAAGATTTTTGCTCTTTTTTCTTCTTATTCCATTGTCACCTCATTAATTTGTCGATTTCTACTGCCTACTCATCAATCAGTGTACTATAATAATTATTCTATAATTATTATTTTGCCTATTCATTAATCTGTGAACTATTACAATTATTATTCTTTAATTTACTATGTTTCCTATTAGAAGCTCTTCTAAGATTGTATAAAATACTATACAAATATTGGAATGAACTATTCAACCATGTCTCTCTAATTGTTTTTAACTGTTTTAAACTTTAATTCTATTCCTCAGTGTTTTGAATAGTTGTACATGCAAATCTATTGAGTGGGCAAGCCAGCTTCCAAGAAATTGGAGGACAACTAAACATGTGAACAAGTGGACCTTCTCCTCAAATTCTTTCGGTGATCCTTTTAAGTTACAATAGAGAGAGATGGATTAGGGCTTCCTATCCTAGTGATCAACCAAGCAATCGAAATGTTCTCGAGTAAGAAATTTAGGGCTTTTGGGATTGATTGAAGTAAAGAGGAAGATTCTTTGTTTTCATGTCTTGGAGATTTTGTGGCATAATAATTCTTCTATTCTCTCTTTTGGTTCCTTTAAGATTTGGTGGGATCTTACCAACTCTCCTCCTTAATAAATTTTTGTGAATAGGACTTGTTATATGTTTGGTACTCTTATTTTGTACTTAATAGTTCACAGAGAGAGTGGATCATTTGTAGATATTGGTCATTCTTGATCATGCTATGTAAATTTGGTGTGTTTATATATATATATATATATATATATATATATATATATATATATATATATATATAGTATTTGTTTTCTATCATATTTTTGTGTGATGCTAGTTTTGTTTTTCCTTGGCTGATTAAATCTCTCTCTTTGGTTCTCTCAAAGAGAATTGATTTGTGCTCTTTTGCTACAACCTATGACAGCAAAGCTGTAAAACTGTCAAATTGTGCTAATAATATTTAATAATACATTATATTTATTGTTGCATGTATATTTCCGAGAAGAGAAATAGAAAAGCATTTCATATACATTGTAAGAGTTATGATTGATGAAAATTTTCCTTTTTTCTATATTTGAGAACAACCTACTATCAACTTTGAAAACCTACTATCAACTTTGAAAACTTTGCATTGGAAATTTAAGATGGTTTATCTGAATCCAACTCCCTTTTTTTCTTCAAATTATAGTTTAAAAAAAATTAAATGCCTAATGGAACATCATGTTATATATATTTTTTGTTTGGGCATTAGGCAGGCAGAACAATCAGTACAGACACTTCAACCCATGATTTAATTTTTCATTTCATAACATACTATTTCTTGGGACAATGCACTTTTTGACATAGGGGTGATAAGTCCCATTTGAATGTGTCGGTCTTAACTTCAAATTTAAACTTTTAATTCAATCCTAGTCAAATCCACTACTTGAGAATAATGAATTTTGGCTTGAGTTTTGAGTTGTTTCGAGCTAAGCTTACTTTGACATTTGAAGTTCCTATGCTTTATTGTAAACTTAGGCTTCGTTTGAGATAGCTTTCTTGTTGCTTTTTAAAGAAATTTTTGTACTAAAAAAAATATTTTAAAAAGCGATAAGAAAGCTGTCCTAAATAAAGCTTTATTTAGACAGGAAGACCAAGCAATGCATCGGTCTTTAATAAAGGTTGATAACTTGGATCTGATGCATTGTAGACAATTATTAGGCAAATATTTGCAAGCTAGTGGTTAAAATTATAGTTTTCTGTTCGAAGTCATGTAAAAATTTATGACCAGATTGGTCAGACATGTCCTCTAATTTCTGTGGCAGACAGTTAGGGTGGCTTGGCTGATAACGGCCAAAAATAATCTATATGCTAAAACTGAGACTTTTATAAACTATCTAATTTATGCCACATGATATGCTGCCAATTAGCACATAGTGAATAATTTTAAATTCACGAGCTTTTGATGGGAGTAAAAACCTAGGAACATCTACGTAGCTAGAGGCAAGCTTGTGATTTGAGCTTTTATTTTAGCACATTTCCAAAACTGATATGCTTTCAAGAAAGGTCTTTTGACTATTAAACCTTTAACTTGACCCAATAAAAAAAAAATCAGCTATTACTACAAGCTTGTGAATTACTTGGATGCAATGGTAGCTAGTTAGGACGACTATAATCATCTACTCTCTAGTTTCTAAGTCTATTGCATCCATCTGAGATGGTATATAATGAAAATTACCTTATTTAGAGACCTAGAATCTTGAGATTGATTGTGATTTTTCTAGGTTCTTTTCTTGCAGTTAAAGATGTAGCACATTCTATGTATCAATTATGAACCATTTATGTTTTTTCAGAAGAACGATGTTTTCTAGAATGGTTCAAATTACCTTAGTTTAAAATTGCGCAATCTGAGGTGCGCCTTTGCGCAATTTGCTTCAAAATAGCCTCAAAGCCTACACAATTCTCAGGCATCATGAGGCGTATGCCTTAGGTGGAGTGAGGCGCGCCTCACTAGCGTTATTGTGCAATTTCCTTTGAGGCGTACGCCTCAAATATGGGGGCCCACTTACTTAAAAAACCTCTTAAATTCTTCCTTATACCCACTTACCCTTCCAAAGACCCACTTACCCGACCAAAGACGTCAATCGAAGCCGCGCAGGAAGCACACAGACTCCCGATTCGGCTCTCCCGCACGTTTCTGCCACCTCTCTCGCCGGCGCCGCCTCTCGCCGGCGCCGCCTCTCGCCGATGAGACATTTGTTTCCGGCCTCCCCTCTTCATCACTTCTTCAAGTGTTCTTAAGGTTCTTTTTAAGTTTAGGGTTTGATTTTTCAACTTATAGGAAAGCTAGTGTCATAACATTTCTTAACTTTATTTCATTAATTAAGTAATTTATACATCCCCGGTCATTTTCTTTTAAAACATTTTGAAACTTTTATATTTCCTTTTCCTATTTAGTTTGTACAGGAGCACCATTTCAATATACCCAAAGGTACAATCTTTTCCAATTATTTCCTTTTTCATTTCCATGACCTTTTCCTTTTTACGTGTATGAGTACGACGTCCCCAGCTAGTACCATAAGGGGGTGAACTCCTGTAGTTTTCATACATATCATTTTCCTTTCTTTTCCATTTATTTTGAACATTTGTTATTCATTTCATATGTCATTGCTTTGTTTGCATATTTCCTTAATACATATCTTTACTTGTACCATATAACATCTCCTTTATTCATATTCATAATTTCATTCATGTTAATTGATTCTTTCATTTTCTGTTGTAATAATATTTACAATTATTTAGACATTTAATCTTTTAACATTTCACATGTGATAATCTTTAAAAATAAAATCTTGAAAGCAATATTATAATACAAAATATTATATCATATTGAAAGAATAATACAAAATATTGAATTTCATAATTATAATTACCTACTTTGAACTTTTCAGGCCTTCGATGCTTGGTATAACCTCGAATCAATTTTCTTCTTTCTCGTTGGATCCTTGCGGGATCAACTCTTACGACTTGATCTCTCCCTTCATAAAACCCTAAATTCATAAAATAGCTTTCATAAGAAAAGTTTAATCACAAAAATTTTAACTAAAATTATTCTATAGAGAAATTAATTACAAATGGAAATCTCCAATTTTTTCTTCCTTTCCCAAAATCCTTCCCCTTGCCTTCAATTCCTTTCTTTTTCTTCTATGAAAAGTGTATCTAGGTTTAGATGAAATAACTTAAGATAATTTATACGAAAAAGGGAAGAAATTTTTTTACAAACCTCCTTCTTTTTCCCTCTCGATCGTTCCTCTTGTTCGTTGCAATTTCTCCCAATTTAGCACTTCCTTAACGATAAGAATGAAAAGGAATGGTTAATTCTTATCCTCGAAGGAAATCATTTGCTAAAATTGGAAAAACAAAGCCTACCTTGCTCTCCCTCACGAAGCTGCCGTCCGCCCTCTCTCTATTTCGCGAAAGCCTTCAGTTTTGCGAACCCCATTATGTTCGCAATATTAATAGGGTATGCTGGCCGGTTCAGTTGAACCGGCCGGATGAACCGGTTGTCACAAAGATACTCCTTATTCTCTCTATATTTCTCCATCAAACCTCTCAATAAAATGTATGGCTTCCATAGTAGACCTACCCGGCATGAATCCAAATTGATTTTGAGAATCATTAGTATCACGCCACAACCTACGCTCCATAACTCGCTCCCATAGTTTTAAAGTATGAAACATTAACTTAATTCCTCTATAATTCACACAATCATGTGCATCACCTTTATTCTTAAAAGTAAGAATTGACACACTCATTCTCCACTCATATGGCATCTTTTTAGTCTTCAAAACAATATTAATAAGTTTAGGATGGTTCAAATTACATCTAAACAAATTTATGAGGTTTCCAATCCACTTTTATTGTTGATTTAAATTCAGCTACATATCATTTGGGCGGCATAATCTGTTCTTAGACACAAATATTCAGTTTTCTGAACTTTTTGCAACCTTATCATCCAAGTTTATCCTTATAGCTTGATTTTTTTCTTCAATGCTGCAGTTTTTAATTGTATTTTTTTTTTTAAATAAACTATTCCAGCGAGATTGCTGAAAGGTATGGCTATGGTGTGGTGGAGCGATTTGTTGGCCATGGCGTTGGGACTGTCTTTCATTCTGAACCAATTATCATGCACAATCGTGAGTTTTCTCTTCTATTTAATGTTAAAGTTACTTTTGTAGATGGTTTGCACCTATCATTAGATGATGCTAGAAGGGTTTAGAAAAATGAAATACAAATTGTAAAGGACGATATTCATCATATACTACAATTATTTATATGCAAATTTTAATTTTGATTTTCAATTAATTAATACCACTTGATTATCTGATTTATAAAAATTCCTAGCACAATATGATCTAGATCGTATTGTACATACCAATCAGAAGAAAAAAGTCCCATTCACAGATGCATACCAATCAGAAGAGAACATTAGGCTTCATGCAAACACATGGAGAATCATCCTCTGGTATTTGTCGTCAAAAAATTGAAAGTATTTGGATAATTCACAAGAACTCAGAATAAAAAAAATTTTATTGAACCATTCAATGTTCTTTTAGATGTCTTAGGGCTCCATTTATAATCATTTAAAATTTTTTTAATGCCTTAAGGGCCCTATTTTATTCTGCCATTCAATATTCTTTTACACGTTGTAAGGTTCTATTTATATAGTGGATGTAGTCTTGCATATAAGAGAGCTTTTAGAATTAGATGAGCAGATCCGTTTGATAAGTTGTTGGATGTAATCTACAAGAAGATGGAGATGCTAATGCTCATAATGGAGCACCTTATGTGGCCTTTTCGTTGTTTATTTTGATTTCTGAATTTATGTTGGAGATGCACTTTGATGGATGGGTATTTTTTATTGTGAAGTAAATGAGATGCTTATACGAGTAGGAATCTTGAACAACAACACAATTTAAAAGTAAAAAAAAAAAAAAGAAAGGGTATACGGTTCATGATTTACGGAGAAATGCAAAAATCTCATTTAGAGACTTGCTTATTTATTATTCACTACAAATGTCTTACCATCTTTTATACTCTTAGATTTTTATTTATTTATTTTTTTATACTCTTAGATGTCCTATTATACCAGTAAAAATATGATGTAGAAGCATTATTCATACTTTTTTTTAAATGCAGTTGAGGTTTGTTATTACGTCCTGTGAATATTACAGCTTTTTGGCACGACTTTCTTGGGTTTCAGATTGCTAAATTGCTTGCGAATATTCTTAGGCTTCGTTTGGACAGCTTCCATATTGTTTTTTAGTCAACTTTCTAGTACAAAAATTTTAATTATTGTACTAAAAAATTACTTTATGAAGCAGTAAAAAAGTCATCTCAAACAAAGCCTTAGACAGCTTTCTTACTGCTTCTCAAAGCAGCTTTATAGTACAAAATTTTTAATATTTGTACAAAAAAATTACTTTGAGAAATAGTAAGAAAGCAATCCCAAACGAACCCTTAGGCTTCGTTTGGGACGGCTTTTTTATTGCTTTCTAAAACGGAGTTTTAGTACAAAAATAAAAAAATTTGTATTAAAACTCCGTTTTAGAAAGCAATAAAAAAGCCGTCCCAAACGAAGCCTTAGTCTGAACTCTAAAAGACCCATTTGCTAAGGAAGTAATTGCTGACTGCTTTTTTAAAACCAAGTAAAATTTTCAAGCCTTTAAGGATAGTTACTGTCTTGATGATTTATTGGTTTTAAGAATCTATTTGTTTGCAATCATGAGAATGATTTTGGTTTTTTGTTTAACAGGTAATGACAAATCTGGTTCTATGGTTGAAGGCCAAACTTTTACTATTGGTATGAGTTTTTGTTTTTCGCATTACGATATGGGGAAGTTATTCTAAAACACCATTTGTTTTACTTGCTTATTCTATGTGTTGTCATCACGCCCTGCTCCACCATTATTAAAAAATTTGGCAGCATACCCAAGGAGAATCTTAGAGGTGACTTCTACACTAAGGTAGGAAACCCTAGGTTTTAAGAGAACCATATAAAGAAGATTGACCTCAGCAAAAGTGAGATCACCAGTCCGATGACCCAATTAGAAAAATAGATGTATTAGATTTGACTTACAGTAGGAAAACTAAAGGTAGACCCAAAAAAATTGGGCTTCGTTTGGGATGGCTTTTTTACTACTTCTTAAAACAGTTTTTAAGTACAAAATTTTTTATTTTTAAATTTTTTGTACTCAAAATTTGTTCTAAGAAGCAGTATGAAAGCTGTCCCAAATGAAGCCTTAGTTTGAAAATATTAGAAATGATCTTTTGTTTATTAGATTTAAATAAGAATTCAACTTTTAACAGGGCGCAATGAAGAAAAATGATTCATGTAACCGACCCCACATAATAGGCTAAATGCTTGATGTTGTTGTTGTTGTTGGATCCTCATCTTCTTGCTTGTTTCCTAAACTTTGTATTCACATAATCTTTATTTTGCCATGTTAATTGGTCACAAATATCATTTAATACACTGCTGAATCCAAGTCCAGTAATTTAACCTGGTGTTCCATCTCTGCAGAGCCAATTCTGACCATGGGAAGCATTGATTGTGTGACATGGGATGATGGCTGGACGACTCTCACAGCTGATGGCCAACCCAGTGCTCAATTCGAACATACCATTCTGATTACAAGAACAGGAGCTGAAGTTTTAACCAAATGCTGACTTGTTAATAACTATGTATAAGCTTGTTCAATTCAAGTCATGAAATATTTTGATCTTCTGATTTCATAAAACAAGAATATTGATTGATATAATTTGGATGGGATAAATTTAAAGAGCTTAGATCACTCAATTATGACCTTATCAAGGTACTCAAAATGCTTTAAAACCATCAAATGATCAAGAGTCATTCTAAGCTCAGTGATTGAGTATTTAGATTTTTTGACAAAGTAACCAAAATACCTCACAAAATTCTGATAAATATTCCTTCTTTCCACACAAGAAGAGAAACTTGAGCTGAGAGAATGTTGAATTTGAAGAATCTTAAAGCTTTGTCCACCGATTAACATTGACGATCATCACCCTCACATGCCACTAATAGCAAAGAAGACGCCTATTATAGCCAATATAAGTTTTGTTAGGGACGGCTCTTTCTAAAAAGTTACTTTAAGCAGCAGTAAGAAAGCCGTACCAAACGAAGCCATAGTTGAAATTGTCATTACCAATAAAGAGGCATCAATCATCAATACCAATGCTAAAGCTTCGTGTTGACACTAATATGTGCGCTCGTCGTCACCACCAATGCCAATGCTCATCATCAATTCACATAATAATACATGGAATCTATACCAAGATTGATGATTGTCTTCTTAATCGTTGGTGTCTCATCTTATAAGAAGAATGGTAAATAATTCACAAATGGTCTTTGACAATAATTAAAATGCTTCATTAACTTATATTAATGAAATCATTTCAACAATATTATATATTATAATATTTTTTTTTTTTTAAAATAAATTTTCATACAAAAAAAAATTTCTCCTATGAATTATTCTCATAAGATTGTATAGAGGGGTTGGATCATAAAATCGTATTAAGGCTGTAAATGAGTCGAGTTGAGCTGAGTATGTGAGTGTTCATGTTTGAATTCGTTTATTATCAGATTGTTTAAGTTCGGTTCGGGTTTGATTCGAGCTTTATTGTTAGTGTTCATGTTTGGTTCGTTTAAATTAATGGATGTTCATATTTGGTTCATGTTTGGTTCGTTTATTATTTATCGAGCATTAAACAAATAAGCATTAATGAGCTATGTTCGTGAACATATTTAGCGAATTTTTTTAAGCTATCAAACAAGCACATTTATGAACATATCTAAGGAGTATTCTTGAACTATTAAATGAGCAAGTTCATGAATATAAATAACTAGTGTTTTCGAGCAACCAAATGGGCTCGTTCACGAACTAACGATCTATGATTTATCTTATATATTTGATCATGAATAATTTGTTCATGAATTGAGTTTTTTATCGTGCTTAATGTCGAGCTTGTTCATGAGCTTCAAATGTTGTTATTCATGAACATAAATGAGCCGAACACAGTAGTATTCAAGTTTGTTTATTTATGGATTTGATATTTAAAATATTATTCAAATTTGTTTATTTAGTTAATTAAATGATCATAAATAAACTTTAATTGAAGCGAGCAATAAATATCTGGTCAAGCGCTTGATTTGCTTGCAGCCCTAAACCGTATCAACATGCTACTTTGGTTCACCAAATAAGTAAATAACCATTGCTATCGAACCGAAAGACCGTACCGGTCCAAACCTCCAATACCACATCCGGTTGACTCCCCAACCGGACTACAACCCGAGTTAAAAAACTGAGCCGATTCTTTTCACGGTTTTACAGTTTTACCCCCGCGGACAGCTCATACCTTCATCTTCCTCCTCCCTTCCATCTTGCTTTCATAAATGACACTGCAAACTCACTTAGCTGTCCCGCATTTATCTCTCAGTTTCGCGCGCTCGCTTCGTCTCTCACTATGTAGTCAGAAGAATGCAGCCATAAGTCTGTCTCTCTTTTTTTAATTCATCCATTGGGCGATTCTGCGAAGCTTTCTCCATTATTTAGGTATTTTACACACATTCTTTCTCTCTGATCCCGGGAGAACCCAAAAACGAGAAGGGCGAAAGAGTAATCGAAATAAGCTGAAATGGTGAAAACCAACTTATTGGTCTCTCTCATCTCTGTCCTCTCACTGCTCTGCTCGTCCACGGCCGACGACCCCTACCGCTTCTTTACCTGGAACGTCACCTACGGTGACATTTGGCCCCTCGGCGTGAAGCAGCAGGTAAAATCTGATATTCTCTTTTTTCCTTTAGATATTTGATCTATTCGATGTTGATGTTTCTTGGTGTTTTGCAGGGTATATTGATCAATGGGCAATTTCCAGGGCCTCAGATCGAGGCTGTAACCAACGATAATCTCATAATCAACGTCTATAACAGCCTCCCCGAGCCATTCCTCATCTCCTGGTATAACTCCCTCTCTCTCTTTCTCTCTCTTAATTCTGGCTAATGATAGACCTGCAGCCATATTCTCTCGCTACCGTGCTGAAGTTTAATAACTTTTGTCTTTTTCTTTTCTGATCATCCTGCCTCGAATCCGATTGAAAATCGCAATTCTGCTTTTGCATCGAAGTCGCTTGAGATGGGTGTATTTGCATGGCTTTGTAGCTTTGTTCTTTAGGGTAGGATCTGCACCGGTTGCTCCAATCTCAGTTATGCAATCTACTTTGCACGAATGGAATTTATTTATTTATTTATGTTGAACATTCTGATTTTTGTTGATTTAATTTAATATGTTTAAGTATATAGCACGGCTACAAAGATGTAATAATTCCCACCTTATTTGCAACCTAGCTGTAAGAGATGCAAAACTTTTCTGAGTTGCATCGAAAGTTATGCTAAACAGACTCCATTTCTGCTTGTTTTAATTTTTTTTTTGGACATTTAGGCCATTTAAGGCAAATTCGTACACACAATGCATACACAAAAACTCGAACCCAAAATCTCTTAGTTGGAAGCATAAGCTCTCAACCAACAAATCAAAATGAGCTGTGTTGCTTGTTTTATTTATGATTGGTGTGCTGGAAATAATTGCCCTACCTTTGACAGGCTTCTTGGGGAAGAGAATTCTGTGGGAGGTATTTTAATAAATAGTAATTTTTAGGGGGGTTTGTTGTTATTGAGACGCGAGTTGAGGGATATAAAATGGAGGGAAAAAGGACAAGGGAATCAAATAAATGCGATGGTCGGGGTCTGAACTTTTTGAATGGGGATTGGTGCCACCGACGCTGGTTGGCGGTTTTTTGAATTTGGTATCCCGGTTTAAGTAAACCGGAATAGACCGGGCATGTCAGGATTTACTGGTTTTTTCTGTAGATTTAGATTGGGCTTTTGGGTTGAGTACCTAAATTTGGGTTATTCGCAGGAAGGCCACCGCATGGTTTGTGTTGGTTCTTACTTTGATTTGTATTATTATTATTCTGGAAATTGTCCATGAATTGAGCAATTAACATAATTCTGTTTGGTAAAGTTTCTTCAGTTTTAAGGGGAGTTCTATTTGCAAGCAGTTTAGCAGTTCTTTGTAAATTTGGTATATGTATTAAATGAATCTTAATATACACGTATATTATGTAGAATTTATTTTTTGATTTGAAATAAAATGTGATTTTTTAAATTAAAATTAAAATTATTGTCTTATTTTAAAAGAGAGAAAAGAGTATCGCCGACTCGCAACCGGCTCGGTCTCCTGGTCGTTGCTGACCCATCACCGTCGACCGTTGCTGACCATCGCTATTTGTCGTCATCCCTAGCCGCCGTTGCCGCCCTCATCCCCTGATTGTCATTGCTCGATGCCGCCTGCCACCACCACCCTCAACTTCCAGAAACTGCTGTAGCCCTGCTCGCCTCGAGCTTGCATAGTTTTGCTTTATAAAAAAAACACCTATATTTATTTTACATTCATCCAAACAACTTCAAACATATTAAATATATTGTACTTCTTTACAGTGTATTCTATTTTTTCATCAAAACAAATATCCCCTTAAAGTTTTGGGAATTGATTGTTATATTCTTAAACTTGACCCCTTGGGATATCGTTGATTGATTGTCGGAGATGATAAGAGTACTTTGTTTCCATGTATTCTTCTTAAAGTGTACCATGAATGAATATTCTAATGACCAGGAACTGGGAGGAGTTAGGTGAGCAGCAGAGCTTCTTGGCGTCCAAAATTTTCCTGCAGATAATCTTATGGGGAATTTCTAGTTCTGTTTTACAATTTATATCCCTACTTCTGCAGGAATGGCTTGCTGCAGAGGAAGAACTCTTGGCAGGATGGAGTTTATGGCACCAACTGCCCAATTCCACCAGGGAATAACTTCACATATATTTTGCAAGTCAAGGATCAGATTGGTAGCTACTTCTACTTCCCCTCCCTCGCCTTTCACAAGGCCGCCGGTGGCTTTGGTGGTATTAGGATTCTTAGCCGTCCCCTCATTCCTGTTCCATTTGATCCTCCCACTGGTGATTTCACCTTGTTGGTTGGTGACTGGTACAAGGCTAATCACACTGTAATAAATCCTTGCTGCACATTGTTTGACGTTTGTTATCTCTTTCAAAAATGTATCTGTCATTCTCTTTTTAAGCCCAAAGGTTTCACCTTATTATAACATCATTCTTGCTTTGTTTTGCTTATAACTACAAATTTGTTTGACGTTTGTGCAATTTCTCTTTCAGGACCTGAAAACAACACTAGATAATGGTCAGATGCTCCCCTTTCCTGATAGTCTCCTCATAAATGGGCGTGGGTGGAATGGTAACACATTCACTGTACAGCAAGGTAAGTTTCGTTGCTTTTGTATTGATGATCAGCTTCTTGGAAAGTATGATTCCTCTTAAAACTTTGGTCTTCCTTAACGTTTCTTCAGGCAAAACATACAGGTTCAGAATATCCAATGTAGGCCTCATGAACTGTGTCAACATAAGGTTTCAAGGGCACACCATGTTATTAGTCGAAGTAGAAGGATCACACACGCTACAGAATACCTACTCTGCGCTGGATGTCTGCCTTGGCCAATCTTACTCGGTCCTTGTAACTGCTAATCAGCCCCCGGGGGACTACTACATTGTTTCTTCAACCCGATTTACGAACCCCGTGCTCGCCACCACTGCCATACTTCATTACAGCAATTCTGCAGGGAAACCCATAGACCCTCCACCTGGTGGTCCTACCATTCAGATCGACTGGTCCCTGAACCAGGCTAGATCTATCAGGCATGTTCATAACCTGCATCTAGGAGTGTCAATATTTGACACGACCCGAAAACCCGACTCGACCCGAAAATTTCGGGTTAGGGTAAACCCGAATCCGAAACGGATCGGGTTCAAGTTCGCTATTTCGACCCGATTCAAAAATCGGGTCGGATTCGGATAACTCTTTGACCTGAAATTGACCCAAAAGTGACCCTTTTTTAACCCAAAAACCCAATTTTGACTTGGCAACCTGAGTTTGACCAATTTTTTACTCGAAAAGAGTAGATTTGATTATTTTTTACCCGAAAAGTTGCAATATTTTTATTGGAAACGGGTCATTAGGGTCGTGACGGGTTGACCTGGACCCGAAGAGGGTCTGGTTCGGGTACGGAAAACAGACCTGTTTGGGTTCGGGTTGACCCAAATAGTGTCGGGTCAGTTTCGGGTTTGGGTTGAAGTAAAGTGCAGGCTGCATCTTCACTTCAATATCAACTGCTATTTATGAACTCCTTTTCTCTATCCAAAACCAGGTGGAATTTGACGGCGAGCGGACCAAGACCTAATCCACAAGGCTCATACCACTATGGGCTGATCAACACCTCGAGGACTATCAGGCTTGCAAATTCTGCAGGATCTATTAATGGAAAACAGAGATATGCTGTTAACAGTGTATCCTTCAACCCGCCTGATACACCAATAAAGGTTGCCGACTACTACAAAATTGGAGGTGTTTTCTCATTGGGAAGCATTCCCGATAACCCAACCTTTGGCGGAATGTATCTTCAAACATCTGTAATGGAAGCAAATTTTCGTGACTATGTTGAGATAGTTTTTGAGAACTACGAAGATTTTGTTCAGTCCTGGCACATTGATGGTTACGCATTCTGGGTTGTTGGGTAAGAACATGAAACCTAAGCTAAAAAAAGATAAAATTCTGATTATGAGATATTGATTGTTTTGGATTATGAAATTGTGCAGAATGGATGGTGGCCAATGGTTTCCCGCAAGCAGAAACAGCTACAACCTTAGAGATGCAGTTTCTCGCTGCACTGTGCAGGTATGGTCGTTTTTTTTACCCAGTTTGATCATTTCATTTAATTCTTTGTTTATCCATCTATCAGTGCATATAGATAACTGGACGAGCATAGAATTTATTGTTTATCCATCTATCATCACCGATTCGCAATTTGATAATAATCATCGTCCAAATCTAAGAAAATTAGTGAGAAATTGAATCACAAAAATCAGTTGGTCTGAGGTTTCATTCCACCAATGAATGCCTAGTTGTAATAGACTGGACTTATACCAAGATAGCTTACCTTGCAAATATGTGATTGTTTTCAGGTGTACCCAAAATCATGGAGTGCAATATACATGCCATTGGACAATGTGGGCATGTGGAACATTAGATCGGAAAATTGGGCGAGGCAGTACCTCGGCCAGCAATTTTATCTCCGAGTCTATTCTCCGGCGAACTCCTGGAGAGATGAGTATCCCATCCCCAAGAATGCTCTTCTTTGTGGCAAGGCTTCAGGCAGGAAGACCAGGCCACTCTGAAACCAATCAAAAAGGTAAAATCACCATAACTCAGCTCGAGCTATTAGTTTTCCACGCGGCTTAGTTCACTTTAGTTCAGTTGTTCAAACTTATCTTCTACTTTTGTGCTATTAATTATATGTTACTGCATTTTAGTTCAACCAGAAATAAAATGCAATTCTGTAGCAGCAGATTTAGGGTTTATTGTTGGACTGTATTAGAGGACAATCAAAACATTTGATTTACTTCATATTTCTGAGGCTTTCAGAGTAATTGAATGTCGAGAAGTTAGGTTAACCTAACCTACATGTTATTGATACCAAGCTTTGAGATCTTGGCCTGATTGACAGAATAGGTTTGTCCAATTTAACTTCGTTGATCAAAATCATAAATTTTATTTTATTATTATTTTTCATTGTTTTTAATAAATACAATAAAAAAATTTATAATAACTTTTAAACAAAATTACGGAAAATATGAACATGTTTATATGGTTATATATTTAGTGGGGTTTAATTAAATCAAATTATTTTTGCATGAGCTCTATTTAAACATCGTTACAAGCCCCGATTACCTATTAGCACTATGATGATGCAATTATCCATCCACAGTTGTTTAAAGCATTTCATTATTTTAACTTTGTTTAAAAAAAAAATAGTCAATTAAAATAAAGTCTTCTACTCACATATATTACATGTATATAAGTTTTAAATTTAAGCTTTCAAAGCTCTTAATCAGTGGATGAAAGTGAGCTACAGTTATTTGAATAATAACAATATAAAACTCATCGGCAACTAATGCAATAGGAGAAAACAGGACTAGAATCAGCTGAGGCAAGAATGTTAAGTAAGACTTCTAATAGGATATATTTCGTACGAGAAGAATACAAATTTTAATTTATATTACTTATATTTTACACATCTCAAAATATTTAAAAATTTTATAATAGAACAATCCCATAATAATTAGTATCAAGATGTGTTTAAATCTTATTTAATATGTTCTAAAATTAGCGAATACAAAGGGTTCATATACAACATGAAATCTCAAAATAAATCTACTAATTTTTAAATCTAGCATCTCACTCCACTGTAATGCAATATTTTAAGACAAATATATTTTAAGGCATCTAATTTCAAGGCTTTGATGAGTCATCTGTGCTTAAAGACGATAACAATCGCCGTGCAATTATCCTTACAGCGTCGCTCACGAATGGCTTCTCTTACAAGGCGGCGAGCTGCACTAGTGGCAGATGATGTTTCCTGTAAAAATTCCAATTGTAAGAAAAGCCCCGACCCTGTTCTTTGAATAGGAAAATATTTTATAGCTCTATCTATTAGAGGAGAAATTATTTTGTGGACGTCAAACGTCGTTCAAAGACCAACTAGAATACGCCATATCACTTCTTGCTCAGTACCCGACTCATTATTGCTTGATACCGCGGCTCGGTACCGCTCGGTTCTCGGCTCGGTAATGCTGACTTAGTGTATTCTAGTTGGTCTATGGATGGTAAACTACGTTTGACATCCGCACGGAATAATTTCTCCCTAGAAAGGATAATAACAAATGAAATGCTGCCTACAAAATAAATTCAAGTAGAATTATTTGGTTCAAACAAGACCCAGTAATCACCCATGTACTCTATAAAAAAAAAAAAAAGGTATTCTGCTCACACTCCATGAAACTTACTGCATGCCCTATGTTAAGAATTGACTTACTGATGGAAATAACCTTAAATGGCACCATCTAATGATTTAATTAATGTTCTATAGGCGATTTGAAGAAGTTAGTATTTAATGTGTATTAAAATGCTTATTTCTTTGATTAAGCAGTTTATTCTAAATAGCTCAAAAATGATGAACATATAATTAAAACATAATAAAATTAAGTATAATTCATAATGATTTTGAATAAATTCATCATACAATATTTTCAAACTGCAATGCCTACATATCGGTATAAGGCCTTTTTGGATTGCTATTATACGATAGACAGTGTTTTATATTCTGCAGGTTTGCGGATTGCAGTTAATACATTATTAGCCTGTTGCCACTAATGGCTAGTCATAAACTAGTTTAGTGTCGCCAGAAAGCCTCAATCACAACTAGATTTATAGCCATTGGGTGAAGATATTTTTGCCACCGGGGAAATTCCTTATGGTTTTCTTTTGACACCTACGTTATAAATACTCTCTCAAATCTAGCCTTTGTAAGATGATGATTTCACTTTTATTTTATTTTTTTCAAACTGAAAGTGAGTAAACTTTCGAGCTTAATGGCTGTCCTTACAAGAAATAATGAAGTGTTCTCCCTACTAATACTTCAATGCAACTACAGTAACACTTTGTTCTCTCAATCTCATAGTTTACTTTATGCATTGTTTTGCATATTTTGCAATTATGGAATATCACATTATATTGTTCTTAGAATTGCTGGTGATCGCCATAGTCGCAATTAAAGTCTGTAAAGATTTTGAAAAAAAAATAGATATTTCTTGTATTGCTAAGTGTGGGTTAGCATGGTGCACCTATTCATAAATAAGGTGCTTGTGCTCTTCTCTTGCGAGTGGCCTTCTCTTGTGAAGAAAGATGCGACGGCTTCTCTATCTACTTACGGACAAAGGAAAAATTGCTAGTGGAATCCTAAGCAAGAGATCACTTAATCATGGATGTAGGCTAGGTTAGGCTAAATCACGTCCAATTTCTTTATAGCTAGAATTGCTTTATATTTTCCTTAAAGCAATTCACATATTTGTGAGGATTGAATGATTATGTGACCACATACTAATGTTGTGAAATTACCTCTGCATTGATCTCTATATTGTCATAACCACATTATTATGATGATTTACATATTATATTCATATGCATGTCTTAATAGTAACATTTATACTTGTGCTCTAAATTATTCATAGATGAAAGTTTTTCCAAACTTTTGTAAGGGCACAGAGATGAAAGTTTTTCCAAACTTTTGTAAAGAAATTTACCTTCAGCTGTTTCTGAACAAAAGCAACAGCATCACTTGGTCCAAATACCTAGATTAAACAATATTGATTTGTTATATTAAGCTAGACACGTATCCAAAGCATTTTAAACTGATGTTTACTAAAAGGATGATATGACTTACACCCCACAATCCATCACAACCAAGAATGACGAAGTGCTCCCTTTCAGTAAGTTCAAAGGAATGTACATCAGGGGAGGCAATGACTCCTACCTGCATGATTGATTACATCAAACAGAGAGGTCAATCTACTACATGCAGGAACTTTCAGATAGATGCCATAGCACATCCAAGGCATAAAATGGATATCTATTTATAGAGCAGTGGTTTGGAATCAAGGAACAGCTTCCCCTGCTGCTTCCATGCCATCCTGTAGTTGTTTTGGAGCCTTCAACCTGCTTCTGTTGTGTCTTCTACTTCGTTTGGGGCAACTTTCATGCTGCTTCCTAGAAAGACCTTTTAGTATAAATTTTCTAATTTAAGAAATTTTTATACTAAAAAGCTATTTTAGGAAGCAATAAAAAAATTGTCCCAAACGAAGCCTTCGTCTTGCACTTGCAGACAATTTTTCTAGATCTACAGTTAGTCCTGCCGCAGCTGTTAAACTTTTCTTCCACTCACATACCTGCTGCTAAAGTTTTTGAAGTCCTCTCCAGCACTGAGTTATACTGAGAATCTATAATGCCCAAAAGGATTATTGTTTATGATTTATAATATTAATAGGTGGTCTAATTTAGAGGAACCTGATGGTTTATTTTTAATTTAATTTTTCTGTGGTAAGCATGCCAAGAAAGTTTTTAGTATGCAACATGTGTAATACTAACAGAATGAGAGGATTAGAACCATTTCTGAGATGATTTTCCCAGCACCCGAGTGCATTGGTAGCCAGTTGACTAGCTCCAAAGTCTCCCGAGGAATAAAGGCTAACATACCCGAGTTCTTTAAGTGGATGAGAGACGTTTAGGTATTGTTCGAATGCTTCTGAGGTATAAGTTGAACAGTTAACGAAATTCTTGGACTACTGATTACTAAGTTGTTAAATTTGGTATATCTTTAGGGCGAAAGATCATGGGAAGCAAGTAATGTCTAAGCTCTAGTTTAGGAGGTTTTCTTTCCCCCTAACATCTCAGGATACCTTAAACCATTATTGATTCTTGAGGTAACTACCTGAACTCCCATAGAGTTTAGGTTTATTTATATTGTTTGGTGAATCAAGTTTGAACGCTTCCACAAATACAAGGAAAACTATCATATGTGCTTTTATTACCTGCAATTCAGGGTTAAGTGAAAGAGAGCACTCAGGCCAAGTTCTTGAAGAAAATGATAAAAGGGTAGACGAAGTTGAATGAACTGTAATTGAAGAAGCAACTAAAAAGTTGTCTCTGATTATCAAAATGCAAATGGATAAATGAGGAATCACTTAAGAAGTTTCTATAATACAATATGAATATTGAGATTGTAGCACGCAACATTGAACACCCAAACAAGGCATGCATGATCTTAAGATCGATGTAATCTACCACACTAGTCGGACAAAAATTTCAGAGAGTGCAAATATCACCATACCAATAACGAGAAATGCACTCTAGTAAAGATTACGATGAAAAAGAATTTTCTAGTAATCTACCACATTAGTAGGACAAAAATTGCAGAGACTGCAAATCACCTTTCTCAAAGTAGAAAAACTCATTGAGATCAGTGGTAGAATTAAAGGAGAGCTAAGAAATTAGAGTAGATGTCTAATATTTAACGGTGTGATTGCCAATGTGTAGAAGATTTTACGATAATTTATTAAACTTTTAAAATTTTGGTGATGAGCAATTGAGATACCTTGTCTAGGGCAATTTTGGAATATTGCATGGGAAGCTATCAAAGTATGTTCAGTAAGAAAATAATCACCTTTCTATCATATAAAAGTAAGTAATTTACCAACTTCAAGTTGCAAAGGCAATGAACACAAATTGCAAATGATATCTAACTAAAAGGCTGTTTGAATTCAGAAAGGATTCAACCCTATAAATCCATATTTACTAAATCCTGCAGACCTTAAATCCTGCAGATGTTAAATCCTGAAATTATTTGGCAAGAAGTTAAATCCTAATAAAACCTATGAAATTATTTGGCAAAACAACTCAAGATTTAAGGCGGTTAATTTTCTGAAGATTCAAATCTAACTTGTGTTTTTAATTATAACATGATGAGGATTAAAATTAAATCTTATAAAAAAAACATAAATAGCCTTGACCATATTTTTAGTTTTTTTGAGTTAATTTTTACTTCCAATTTTGATAGTTGTCAATTACTAACAATTATAAATAATGCAATTACAATCAAATTTAATTATCAATTAATCTAACTAATTATTTATTCACTAATTACATTATACTTCTAATTAGTAATAGACATTCAACTCTACCATTGCTTGGCTATTTCAATAATTTCTCATCTCTTTCCTTTTTCTATGATTTTCCTATAGCTTATGCAAGTCTAGGGTTTGCTTTTCCTCCACTCCATTCCTTGTTGTTTAACTTCACTTGCTTCGTGTGAAGTAAGGCTTTGAAAGAGTTGCTAAAGATGGGATTCATTGTTGTTCAACTTTGCTTCCTTTCACAACATTCACTTCGATGAGATTCTTCTTGTCATATTGGAATTCATGATGGGAGCTCGCCGCAAAGGTTACGATCTTTAACCCATTTTGCACTCGTCTTCGGCAAAATCCCATAATTTTGTCGAACCATCAGATTCATTAAATTCGAGATTTAGGATAGAAATGTGGAAAATGCTGTTAAACTAGAATTTAACTTACCGTGAGATTTGAGGATGCATTTTTTTACGTTTGGCGAGATTTCACACAAATCATGCTTAAATTTTGCATCCAAACAACAACTAAATTTGAAGATCTTGATGCATGTGCTTATTAAAAATTTAGTTCAAAAATAGTATGAAATCAATCTCTAAGAGACTGAGGACTTAAAATGGTTCACACCACAGAGTGCATGAGATTAAGCAACTTCGACGTTAGTTCATTGTTACAAGTTTTCTTAGGATATCAAATCTCACAAGAACAAGACAAAAAAACCAACTATTAAAGTAGTAATAATAAAAACACAAGCTCCTATGTAAACTCCAGGTTCTAATGGCCCTATCTAATAAAGATAATAAATGTAACAATCACCCAACTTAATCACTATAAGATGAGCCTTCGAAACATTTTGTATTGCTGAGCAACTAAATGGCCTATTAGTTAAATCTAAGAAAAAGTTTAATCCTATATATTGTTCCTAAAATGTTAATCTTAAGAAATATGATTCTTGGAGAATAGGAATTAATGTGACCTCAGTTAAATCAACTAACAACGAGTTTCCTCTGAAGTTTCTATTCCCAATCTAGAATATATGCTAGGGATGGTGACAAAATCATCCCATTTCTCAAATACAATTTTACAAGTGGTAATCATTATCGAAAACAAGACTTTAAAAATAGGATTGAATTGTCTGGTTTGACTATGAAGTAATCATATAGCTAGTCCAATTAGCCTTAAAAACTATTTTCGTGTCAAACTGGTGAGAACCGATTGTTCGACTAGTGAACTGTCGAACTACTTCTAATTTCAGTATGAATTTATGCATCATTAATTGCTACCTTGAAATAAGAGATATTTCAAAGGACATTAGATGTTAACTTTACCCATCATTAAAGCAATGATATTAAAAAATCAATGATGCTAGGTACTTATGCTCAATAAAGTCATTTAGGTTGCTTGTGATGCATCAAAAATAAGCATATGCGATGTCTTGAATAAGATCATTCTCTTACACATTTCAATGAAGTTTAATGATGTTGAAAAAAGAAAACTAATGATGAAAATTTTCATATGTTATATGATCTAAAGTGTTGCTGCCATCCATCCCACAATCAAACTCAATCAAATGCTACAGTGACGATGAACAATAGGCGCAATATCATATGTGTCCCATTTCAAAACCTCAATTGCAAACATCATTCAATCATTTGCTCATTTTGCAATATGAACTGTGCTGATGCAACTGGAGAATCAAAATTTCTTAAAAAGGGTACACATTATTAAATCCAATCCACTAGAAATATCTGAAAAAGATTCAACCGCATGTGAGGCAACGACAAGAGACCGACATATGAAACAAAAAATAAATTCGAGATGTAAAAGCAATAATAATTCAGAGATTTAATTTAACCCTTTATAGATGTTTCATATGTATAGAAGAAAATACTATATTAAAATTGAATGTGATGCCTTACTTTCATAATTATACTCATAATAATATTTACTTGATAGTACATTAAACTGATTGATGGAACATTAAACTTATTCATAAATTGATAGCTCATAATATCATTTATATTAAAATAGCATAGCATAATATATTTACATGATTCATTAGATGATAATATTATTTACCATATATCTTTTTGTCTTCATTGAACTTATTGATTTCATTATTAATTTTTAAAGATTTGTATTTTTTTATATAAAGTAATGATTGATATTGGCTAGAACTGAAACATACATATTGATTCTTTGGCCTTGCAATGAAAGCAGTGAAATAGTTTTTGTTTCTTGCAAAACAATTTAGCTCATTATATGTGGTTTAAATGATTTCAGGTAAAATAATGGGTTAGGATCACCTGGAGTGATATTTCCAAAGATCATCATGCTTTCTTTAAATTTTATTTTGTATATTCTTTTGTAGTCAAGAGCTTGTGATAGGTTAATGATTGTATTGATCTCATAACTATTATAAATTAATTTTGGGAGAATTAATATATTAAAATATTTTAATATATGTAATTATTATTTATATTTACTAGATTTATAAATTTATTATTTAGAACCTCTAGTTAATTAATTAAAATGATAAATAAAAATAATTCTTCCAAATTTGATCCTTGGACATTACATATTTTCCCCTGTAATTTCTCTCTCTACTGTCCAATCCACCATTTCTCAGCCTCTCTTTAAAATATGAACATAGCTAATAGTACTTTTTTATTCTGTAAACACATAATGCTATCAAAGATCTTCTCTAACCTTAGCAGGCAATCTTTTGTATCCTATAGTTCTATGACTCCTTTAAATAATGGGGGCTTTAACTTATGAAATATCTATAAATTTCCATCCCCTTCTTCCTTGATCCCTAATGACTTACTCTGCATATCACCCATTACTTATGCTAGAATAGCACTAGAGTTGTATTATGTTGCTCATTTGGTACATCTTGCTCTAGTAGGTCCATTTCAATAATTTATTTTTGAATGATTTTGTCTAATATGAATAATTTACACATGCAATCAATTATATATATATATATATATATATATATATATATTTAACTCGTGAACCGAAGACCCAGCTAGGTCCAGAGGAGAAAATTTTGAAATTGCGGCAGATCAAAAGTTGCGGAGTCGGTTCACTTTTTATCTTCAAACAATGATTGTTCTCCTCTCATTCTTCCGTCCACATTTCAGTTCAAGCGATCTATTATCTCCTTCAGTTCATCATCTTCAAACAAGGTTAGGTCCGCCATTCTCATTCAGTTCATCTTCGAAGAAGGATCGCTCTCTCATCCAACAGATAGATTCGCATTGTGTATTCGCAAGGTCAAATGTAACTCTAGAGTGAGCTTGATTAAGGCGGCATTTATCTCTGGATATGTTGAAGGCATGACCGACAAAGTTACATACTTTATTTAGCATTTGTCTCAAAATAGTTGTTAGGGCTTAGGGATTAGGCCATTCGCTTGTCACACGTTTATAGCTGTCACGAGCCTTCAATGAATGCCAAACAAAAGAACATTTTGTGTTTTTCTTCGTTGTAAGAATTGCGACGCCAATATAGGGCAGTCAGTTTGGCGTGCAGTTCGACGCTCGCGACTGCTACAAACCGGCGAATTTCGTTCGACTGGGGATTGTTCGAGTGTATTATTCAATTACTTATATTTGAATGTCAGGAAGAGGCATGGTTTTGTACAACAACTATGTAAAATTATAAATTTTAAAGTTTTTTTTTTTTTTTTTTGAGATTATACAGTGTACATATAGAAGAGTTTTTTTTTTAATTGTGTTTTATTCCTAACACACATTGCGTATTGACTGTGCATTGCATTTTAAAAGTTAGTATTCAATGATTTTAATGGTCTATGTATTGTTTTTGTTAATTTTGTTATGTTTTTTGAACTTGTGCACATGGTTTATAAAGAGATTTTTTTGAATTATGATTTTTTCTTGATAAACATTGTGTATTGATTATGTATTGCATTTTTAAAATTAGGACTCAAAGATTTCAATGGTCTACATGTTGTTCTTTTTTTAATTTGTGATACTTTTTGAACTTGTACATTGTGTATATAGAAAAGAATTTTTTTTTAATTGTGATTTTTGCTCAATAGACACTGTGTATTGACTATGTATTGCATTTTATAAGTTAAGATTCATAGATTTCAATGGTCTATGTGTTATTTTTGTTCATTTTGTGATGCTTTTTGAACTTGTACACATGATTTCTAGAAGATAATTTTTTTTAATTATGATTTTTTCCTCATATTGACTGTGTATTGCATTTTCTAACTTAGGATTCAAAGATTTCAATGGTATATGTACTATTGTTTTCATTTTGTGATGCTTTTTGGAATTGTACACAGGGTTTATAGAAATTTTTTTTGTGTTTTTTGCTCGATACACACTGTATATTAATTGTAAGCGGTTAAGATACAAAGATATAAATGATTTATGTGGTGTTTTTATTCATTTTGTGATGTTTTTTAAACTTGTATGTAGTGCGTGTAGAACTTGATATACATTGTGTATTGGATTGTTGTTCATCATTGTACAGATGTTTGCAGATGTACAATCCAAAGATTACTTATCATTGCAGACCATCAACATTTAAAGTTCTGCGACCCGTTGCTTAGAATTTTAAACAAGGAAGTTCAGAACACCATAAAGAAATTACACATATATCAATTTATGGAGTTCCCAGCAATCTGAATGTACCCCCTGATATGCATGTTGCTTTCATTATGGGATATTCTCCATAAATGCTTCAGCATCAAGGGGCATGAGCTATGATTCACTACAGATGAAGCGGCTTTGCTTATAGGATTGGCAAACAGATGTGCTAATATTAGTTGGGAAAGCGAGCCACTAACAACATACTCCTCAATCGACATTAAAAATGAGATGAAAAGCATCAATAAATCAATTGATCCATCCATTATTTTAAATAAATTTATCATGTTTTTGTTGTCCAATTTATTTTCCCCCATTTATAACAAAAGAACCCCAAAAAAGCATATTAATGTTGCACATAATATAGATGAGTTCCCATCTTTTTGTTTTTTTTTTTTATAGATGAGTTCTCATCTTATAATTGGGCAAGGGCTATTACAGATTTCTTAGTTTCTCAGTTTAACAAGATGGCCCAAAAGTTTGTTGAGGAGAGTCCACTAAGTTATATAAATGGATTTATACATTTGCTAATCTTGAGTGCTAACAGCATCTAAGTATCTTTTTAATTATTAATTTATTTAAAGAATTTATTAAATAATGTTACATTTGATCTTATGTAGATTTGATTTCTAGAACACACTTCAATTAATGCCCCTAATATGGGTAACTCAAGACCCCGTTTCCTTCGGTGGGACAGTCACATTTTTTATCCAGTGAAGCAGGTCTCCAAACTATTTAATAATCTAGAGGATAGCCAGGTACACATGCTTCCCTACACATAACATGATAAGTAATTTGATAACAATGGGCTCAATTCTGAGCAAATTTTTTGTTCCCTCCAGGGAGTTACTTAGGAGGAAGCAGGCCTACTACTACATAAGGACTATACAATTAGCCAAATGCCACAGCCCATTTGCCCTGAACCCCTCAATCATACCTCTCATTCTCCTCAGCAAGACCAAAGGAATTTGTTTGCAACACAACATCCACTAATGCAAATGTTAGCATATCTAAGCAAGTGCTGACTGAAATGTGCACATTCTATAATTTTTTGATCAAGGATATTGAAGAGAAGCTTGGCTCGAGGCTTGGACGGGTGGAGATGAAAGTTGCTTCTATTGAAGAGAAGATCTTGGAACATGTTGCAGCATGTAAATTTGATAAAATGCAACTTCCTGCATAATTGTCCTCAACGAGCCCAGAAACCCCAGCTGATGCAATTCCTCCTACTATCGACATTATTGAAGAAGCCACAATTGATGCAATTCCTCCGGTTGTTGATATCCACTTTCCATCTATCGATCGAAATCATACTCTTCTTCAGGTAATTAATTTTCAATCTACTAATCTACATATCATTCCCATCAACCCAGCACCCGTATTTAGTTTTCCTTGTTTTTGATGCAAACAATGCCTGAGATTAGCAAACAAAGTTCAAAACCATAAATTCAGCATTTCTTTAGTTGGACGGAATAGTTATGCTTAGTTCAAATTGTTTGGATGGCACATGAGATAAGCAGAGAATACGGAAGAACCAATTTAAAAATTCCAAAATTATTTATGTTAGCAAGTTAAAGTCAAGTGTTCATTAAGAAACCTATATTTTAGATTTTAAAGGTCAATAAAGGCTGGAAGAAAAAAAATACAATGTTCATAATACAAATCAATTGCACAGAAGAAAATTTCCAAAGAAATGCAGCTTAAGATTATGGGAGATAGAGGTAACCTTTTTAAATTGTCGATCACCAAAGGCCCTTGAAACTTCAATACGACCCTGCAAACGCCCGTTCGCACTCACAGTACCTCCAGCCTACGCACATCATCAATTATCTTAAATCCATGAGAAAGAAAATTGCAAAAACATTAATGAGATCAGAGAAGAGAATATGACGAACATAGTGAAATAAAAAAAGGAATGCATTTTGCAGAGTTAAAACTCATGCCTTCTGAATTCGGGCACGTTCTTGGGGGTAAATGGCTTTGTGCTCTCTTGTCAAAACAATGGCCTTCAAACCTGTATCATGCGTTCCATCAGATGTAGCTCGTGCTAACACTGCTTTAGCATCTCCAATATTAGCTACTAAAACCTAGAAAAAGTTTAGCAAGGTAAATAACCTTTGATAGGCAACACAGTAGAAGCTGATACACAATATTATATACATAAAAGATGACTCACATGATCAGCAATAAACAATAAGCAAACTAAAAAAATACTGCTAAAATTCTACTGATGATAATTAGATCTCAAGAAGTTTAACGTTACTTGTTTAATCTTATGAAAGATATATGAACACTACAAAATCAATTTAACACTACACACTAGCGATTATAAAATTGGCTTCTATACATTCCAACACTATTAACAGTTAAAAAAACAACTGTGATATGTACTCTCGTTAAAGTTTGAAAAATCGAAGTTATTTATTCATATCTAATATGAGTTTAACATGTAATTTCAAGACAACTGGTCATCAAAGAAACCATCGGACATACCTACTAGAGCACAAGGTTTTTTGAGACAATAAGAGCAATAAGGAAAGTTGCAACAGATTTTCAAACAGTGGCAAAGATAAAAACAACAAACAGCCAAGTAAAGATAAACAAAAATAAATAAAAGACAGCACAAACTGACCGTTTGCTCCAAGACCCATGCACAGACAGCAGTTGCACCATCTTGCCAATTTCCTACAATAGTAACATAGTAAATGAAACATGTCCATCAGTATTTCCGAACTCTAAAAAAATCACCAAACAACAGAAATTTATAAAATCTTCAATTTATGGAATATGGCCAGCCTAGGATGTTCCATAACAATGAAAATTGAAGAGAGGAGAAAGGGTTTCAACTTTTATATTATTACATTTGAGGTCTTGCACCTCAATTTATACAGCTAGATTCTAAATCATAATTGAAAGCTCATAGATTACCAAGCCCATAGGTTACCAAATTGGCCAAAATTTATGGAGATATAACCATTAAAAATAAAAAACTAATAAAGCACTAGAATAAACCTGTTTGCAGTAAAATGATAGAAATGTTAGAAGTGCCTAGCCAATAATGCTTGCAAGCAATTTTTACAGACCCAAGCTATTGTGAGTGGAGACAACTAGGCGCGTTACACGCGTAAACAAGTTGAGTCGAGCTCAAATCATAATAAACTTAAGATTGGCTCCTCAATCAATAAAGCTCAACTCGAGATTGAGTCGAGCTCATATTTTGAGCTCGAACTTGGTTGGTTTGTCTAATGGGCAAGCTCGAGCTTGACTTGTCAGCTCCTGGTTGCTAGCAAAGCATCACAAGTATCAACAAAAGCTTGTATTGACGACGAAAAGGAAGTCACGAGTGAAAATTGAAGCTTGTTGGAAAAGGCATTGATGTGACAAGCAATGTTTTAAGAAGAAGAGGAACTCAAGAAGAGACCAATGACTTTTGAAGAAGAAGAGGGAGTTGCAACAAGTTACGTTTGAAGAAGATAAGGAAGTTGCAACAAAACAACAACATTTTAAGAAGAGGAAACCATGATGAGAACAATTGCATAAGAAGAGGATGTCACAATGGGAGTTGCATTTAATTTTGCAACCCTAAATTGAGGTTTTTTAAAAAAATGATTTAACTTAAAACAAGGGAGAAAATAGATCTTTCGAATTAGCTCACAAGCCAACGAAGCAATTTTCAGGCTTGAATTTGAGCTTGTATATTATACGAGATGTAAATAGCTCAAGACATCAAATTTGACCTATCTCAGCTCCCTTACACCCCTAGATAGAACTAACCATAACCTTACAAGAGTTAAAGCCAACTCAAAATAGGGCATGATATATAGTCATAAAAGTCAACACTAAAAATAAGAACTTTCCTATAAACTCTGAAGGGCACTATTTCTAGAGATTTTAAATAGTCCAAATTCTAGAAGTACACCTAAAAAGACCTATTTACTTCAAATTTTCATCGCGTTCCAACTTTCTAGCAGAATTAATATTTCATTCTGAAATGAAGCCATATAACCTATCAACAAATATAATGGGCATCCTATAATACACTCCTCTTAGGAAGGTAAGAGTGTAATTCTTAGAAAAGTTAAACAGGGCTCTAAGACGGGCACCCAGGGGGTTTGACAAACAGCTTCTAACCAGAAAATAAAAAATTAAAATCAACTAAGCTATCGGATAAAAAAAAAAGAGATGATTTGCTTTCTTCTTCCTACATGAAATTATGTAGCACCCTCACTGAATTAGGGGTATCTACTGAGTTTAAAAATTTACCAAACGAGTTGGGTCTACACAGGAAGTTTCCTTTTTTTCTGTTTTGATCAATGTTGTATCAAAGATGATGAGGAATGAATTAAAATAGTAATTTATAAACTGCATGTGCTGTCAATTTCTTGTACAGCCAAAAATAGTTCTTGTAATCCAGTATAGTTTGTGCAAATAAGAAGATTCAAAGGGAAAGCTCCGAATTCATCCACAACGGAATTGGAAGATGCTACAATTAAGAGTATTTCTGTTGCCATATCACCTATTGTGCTTTCTTTGAGTAATGACTCATCGGTTCTCCGAAAACCTGTATATGATAAGAGTAAATCTAAATTAATCAAGGTAAACTCTGTAAATAAGACAACAGCAGAATGAAACAGCATTCAGGCAACTTTAATTAGAAACAACATTACAATAAAAGAAACTAAATTTATGAAGTTCCAGAGTAACAAAAACAATGATAATAAAATAGCATGTATAATAGAATGAGATACAAATCTGTAAAGGGGTAGGGGTTACTCACAACACCCCGCCTAAAGGATACAAACACATATCTAGAAAAAATACATGAAAATTTTTAGTATGACTCCTGATAGCATCTAGCTATCTAGAATTCCTTATTTGTGAAAATTCAAAATACCTTCGAGTATGGCCCTTTTGGCAGCTTTAACATCTATCTGTAACAAGCAGAAACACAAGCATTATAACAAAGTTTTATAATGACCAAATAGAACATTATTTAAAGCATAGAAGTTCAGATTTAGCCGATCAAAATCAAGCATAACAAAAGTTAGATATAGCAAAGAGTCATTCACAATTTAGGAGAATACACATAAATACATGTAAAAGTAAAAGGAGATGCATAATTAGCCTCCACGATATAAGAGATCATGTTGTTCACTGAGACTACAATCTAAGCAACTTAAGCAAACTACATAAAGGTAATAACTGATCCAACAGTACAAAAGAGAAAAAGAAACTGCAATGAATTAAGGATCAGTGAGTTTTATGTGGCGTTTAAAATTAAAAACAACCGTGTGAATGTCTCAAGCTAGGCCTACTAAAGGAACTATCAAGCATATCCCTCCTAGGCAGTTATGATTTAATATATCAGAATGCAGACTGCCAAAGAAGCATGCATGGACAGAATAGATTAATTTGGCGCTTTCCTAATCAAATTCATAATCCTATTACATGCAATTCTCCGGATAGAAACTCAACACTCCATCAATCTTACATCCACATAACAAACCAAATTCAAAGTCTTCTGAAGCGTGGTGCTTCAGAAGAGAATCACCCAAAGTCCTTCCATGTAAAAACACTTTTCTCTTAAAGCATTGGTTGTACAAAAAGCAAGTGCACTTCAATTAGTAGACACTTTTTTTACTCAACGATTCCTTGACTATGACAGATTTTTGTTACCGGTGAGCTGCAATGAAATCATCTCACTAATGAATGAATGACAAAATTTTCTATGTTTTGAATTCTTATGAGAGCTTGAGAGAGTTTGGAGAGAAATCTCTAGGAGAGGGTAAACGGATCACCCACCAACCTTGGAAGTGTCCGAGTCCGTGGTTCTTTCTTCCCCTTGTAAAAACACTTTGCTCTTAAAGCATTGGTCGTACAAAAAGCAAGTGCACTTCAATTAGTAGACACTTTTTTTACTCTATGATTCCTTGACTATGACAGATTTTTGTTATTGGTGAGCTGCAATGAAATCATCTCACTAATGAATGAATGATAAAAATTTTCATGTTTTGAATTCTTATGAGAGCTTGAGAGAGTTTGGAGAGAAATCCCTATGAGAGGGTAAACGGATCACCCACCAACCTTGGAAGTATCCGAGCCTGTGGTTCTTTCTTCCCCTTCCTCCCCCGCCTCCCTCAAGCCACCAACCATCCTTAGCTCCACCTTCCCCTTCTGGCCGGTCCCCTCTACCACCTTAACCACCGGCCAACCCAAGCCTCCACCCCATAGCCGCCGGCCTCTCACTCCACACCCTAGCCACCGGCCCTCCCAATTCCCCTCCATGATTTGTTACTTTTCTAAAATTGCTACGTTATTAATTTGGGAAGGATTTGAATTCAAATTCAAATAAGTTTAAACTTTTAATTATTTCCTAAATTCCATAGCTTATTTTTGGAAAGTTTCCTCCAATCTAATCCCAAAGAAATCTGAATTCCAATCAAGAATCCTTCAAGACCCTTTTTCTAATTAAAGCTGGCTTTGATTGGCAATTAATTAAAGATCCAATTTTCCTTCATAATGCTAGCCCCCCCTCCCTTTTCCCTTGCAGCCCACATTCAAACCCCTCTTGACTATTTTCCTTTTCTCCTCCTAACCCATTTGGTTAGAATTCGAATTCTCAATTAATTTGAAATTTGAATTATTTCCTAAAATAGCATCCTATTTTAGGAAAGTTTCCCAACTCTAAAGCCAAAACAATCTCAAATTGAGATTCATTAAAAATTCAATTCCTCTTTTTACAAGGGCTTGATTTAGCAAAGTCTTAAAACCCCACCCCAACCCTAATCCCCTCTACCATGTCATCGGCCCCTCCTCCCTTAAAGAAATCATCCCCCATTGGCAAGAATTAAAACCTCTTTCTATTTCCCTCTCCCTACCCGCTGCCCCAAATTACCAATAGTAACTTGAATTATTTCCAAAGGAATGGATACACCTAAGGAAACTCTTAACCCCCACTACCCCATCTTCTCCCACGCCAACTAATCAATCAAACTTTGTTTCCCTGGTGCCGATTGCTGTCCAGAAATTCTGGACTGTTTATGGTGGCTGCTTTGCCACCCAGAGACCATCGTGTGCTGTCCAAGAGCTTCAGTTTGCTGTTTAGAGAAACCAGTTCAAATATACTTGCCTCCCACCGTCAAAGATCATCAAATTGTTGTCCCAAGGCAGCTAGGGGTTGCATGTTGCTGTCCACTCATTGCCCAACACCAAAGCGACTTCACCGGAGCTCCGTATTTGCCCGTCCCATGGTAAAGCTCTTTCTTCCTACATCTACATCTTCTAATTCACCTTTCAATTGTGGTTATAGTTTGATTCACAAAGATTCTTGCTAATCTCTCTGCTAAAGCCTAGTATATTAGAGAGTTGAGTGAGGGACCTTTCTTAGTAACTAATCTTATTGTTAGCATAGGGATTTTTTATGAAAATCTTCCATGTATGCAACGTTTTGAGTAATTGACTACTTATGATTTTAACCTCTATGCATGTTATTTGGCCTAAGCTTGTTTTATCGCCTTATTGTTTTGTCTTATCGCTTAAAATCAATATAAGTCTATTTACTATTGTTCTCTAAAATTTAAGCGTGCAAAAATCCTACATCAAATATCATCTAAACATTGTAGTCATGCATCAGTTACACTTCTTGAATTGTATTCTAATCTATAAATCATCACGAATTGGTACTTATTTGCATGATTTGGACTAATAATGGATATCGAGAACAATTCAGTCTTAATATATACACTGAATGCATGGATTATAATCATGTAACCACATCTCTGCCACAATCAAAGCCATTTCAAACACCTTAATTGGCATGAAACCCTGCATAGGAATGCACGTTCCTAAAGAGAAAAAAAAATAATGCCCTTGCTTTTTGGAATGTTTTATATTAACATTTTTTTGCACATACACTAGCAGATGTTATTATAGCAGGATTGTTAGTATAGTAGTTGAATCATGAAACTACATCATGAATCATGTGAATCGTGCTTTGTAAACCCGCAGTGTTTCACAATGTGCATTGAGCTAACACTTCAATTTTGCCTTGTTTGTTAGAAAAATATGACATAGCAAAACATTCAATATTGAGTTCAAATAAATAATAAGTCTCCAAAAAGACTTCTCCATACTGTCAACTTTCCATCATCATCATCATTATCCTTACCGAGATATATTTGGGTTCATTATAATGAATCCTCGTCATTTTTTCCCCCGTTAGATGCAAGCTAGATGCAGCATGAGGTGTTAACTCTAATTTGCACTTTCTTTCTACAACTTCTAGCCATACTATTTTTGTAAACTCCTTTCTCATCCAAATACTTTCACATTAATTTCATCCACTTGCAACATCAACTCAGATCTAGTCCTTTGATGTACATGGACAAATCACATAAATTTATTATCACTAATTTAATATCAAAAGATGCTATTTTCACCATCTTTTTAGTCTATACATTTATTAATCATCGTTCCTAACTTTACAAATACCCATATTAAGGTTCTCACTCATGTTGGTTATCAGTATTTTTTTATTGACCAACAGTAAGATCCATATAACAAAGTTCTTTCAAATTACAAATTTGAAATTTCTAAAATTTACTTCTCCCTATTACAATTTCAAACCACCAAATACAACTTTAACTCATATCGATATAACACAAGATTTAAAAAATATTGTTTAGAATTACCAATCCACAACTACTGATTCTAGTTTCTTCTCACGATTATGTTGTTGCGTTAGCTACCTGAAGTGAATTAGATAATTTACATTTGAAATTTTGGAAGGAAAAAACTATTTTCACACAATCTTTAATTAGAGTTTTTGAAATAATAGTTAGGAAACAGTTAAATATTTATGGTAATAAGTAAATGATCTCCATGAATTGGTGAGCATTACATAAATTGCCATGCTTTTGTAGCATATAAGTAAATAACCCTAAAAAGGCTCTCATCAAAATGATTTTTTATCAAAACTTCCTCCGCTTAATTGAATTTTGTCTCTTTAATAACTCCATGGTAATGACTTACAATTCTTCCACATCTCTAGGACTTCATTAATCTTCAAAAGATGAGAAACCTTAATTTTTTTGGAACAACTTGTTCAAGTCAGAACATACTAATGTTTATGCAATGTGTTAGACCGGTCCAGTCGGTCCAGGCGGGACCGGTTCGGGGGCGAAATCGCGAAACAGGCGGAGACTCCGCCAGAACGAGCGGCCCGACCGCTCATATAGAGCGTTTTAGGAAGGATTTTTGGGGGGTTTCAGAGAGAAATTTGAATGTAGGGACTGTTTAGGGAATTCCTTTTGATTTGTATGCATTAAATAGATGTTTTTCCTAGGGTTTGGGCATCTTGAATTTGGCTGAAATTTGAGATCTCGTAGATTTAGGATTTCTTTGGGCTCTAGCGGCGTCTAGAGATTTGGGAGAGATCGATCCTCCTCTCGAATTGAGGATCAATTGTATCTTGCTATTTTATTCTTCTACTAGTAAAATACAAGCTGTTCTTCCAATTTTCTCTCAGCTTTTTCCTGTTTTTCCCACTGTTTTGCTGTTTTTCCTGCTGTGAACAGCAGTTTGCA